ATCCCGACTTGTTCAGAAGAACCTAGGAATATGTCAAGATGAAGAAGCAAAAGACAGTCTCTGGCCTCTAACCCAAGCAGAGCAAGTCCAAGAGATGTAAAAAGAGGCCAGGAGTTGCACACCTGAAGTTTCTGAAGTAATGGCAAATGAAGAAACAATTTCATGAGGCTAGAAAATAAATTAGAAAAGAAACACTATATTAGGTAAAAGAAGAAATGGAAAACATAATAAAAGAATTGCTAAGCATCTCTAAAGAAAACTTAAATAAAAAAATAGAGGAGCACAGGAAAACGAGGGAATGAACAATGTAAGAAAGATTTAGAATACATGAAACAGATAAGATATATCCAGATAAATAAAAACAGTCTTAACAGCTGGTAAAACTACTTAAAAGAAACTGAAGATAGACTTTTAAAGCTTGAAGACAGGTTTGCAGCTTGCAATCATGAAAGGAAAGAGCTCTTAAAAATAATAAGGAACCAGTAAGCAACAATTTAATGGCTGCAAGACAACACAAAGAAACACAACTTAAGAATAGGCGTGAGTGAAAAACCAGGGGTCAACACAAATGACATCAGAAATCTACTTACAGAATCGCAGAAAACTTTCTAAGCATGGGAAAAGGATGTGACATTTAAATAAATGAAGCATACAGAACTTCTTCTAGTCATAATAAAAATAAATCTACACCCATATAATCATCCCAGAAATTCAACACAAGAACAGAATATTAAAAGTTATATTAAATATTAAAAGTTGTTAGAGAAAAGAAACAGATCACCTACAAAGGAAAACTCATCAAAATCACAAGACTTCTCAACACAAACCATCAAGTCAAGAAGAGGCTGGAGTGAAATATTGTAAATCCTGAAAGAAAACAACTTGCAACTCAGATCAATGTAGCCTGCAAATCTTTCTTTCAAAATTAATAGAGAAACAAGATACCTCTAGGACAAAGAACAACTAAAGGAATTTCACGATCACCAAATTACTCCTACAAAGAATATTGAAGGGTATCCTAGAAAGAGATAAAAATGACGATGGTTCCAGGGACTCACCAATTGGAGCAGACAGTTCAATACAGGGAGCCAACAGCAGGAAAAGAGCATGGCAGAGATGAGCCAGTACATGTTGGCCATAACCATTTATGTAAATGGCCTTAATTCAACAATAAAAAGAAACACAGGTAGAGTGGATCAGGAGACAGGTTCCATCAATATGCTTTGTACAAGAAATACATTTAATTTGAAAGAAAATTCATAAAGTGAAAATCAAAGGAGAGAGAACAATGCTCAATGTGATAGGGAACCAGAAAAAAGTTTGGGTCGCTTGCCCATTAACTGCAGAATGGAAGAAATACATGGCGTTTTTATACAATGGAAAGCTACTCAGCTATAAAGATAACCTCGAGGCTCTTGTAGGTAAATGGATATAACTTGAGATCATGCTCATAGATGAAATGGTTCAGTCATACCATTCCTACTATTGTCTTCCTACTACAAAAACTCAAGGAGTTAGTGGGATCCAAAATGCAAAATAGATATTGTGAAAGTGAAAGGGGAGAGATGTCTAAAAAAGGAAAGCAGTGGCCATTGTTAATATTATATTTTGAAACCCTGTTTCATTGTTCTGTTTGGTTTTGTTTTGGTTTGTCTAATTTTATTGTATTTGATCTCATGGACAGTTATTTCAAAGATAACAAAATACATTATGGTAACCATTACTGATTTTCTTGTTTTGAAGCCCTGTACTGCTTTGTTTTGATTGATTTTATTTTTTTTTTTATTTTTATTTTTTTACTATGTGTGATGGTATAGGCAGCTACTTTGAAGATGACAAGAGGCATTATGGTAGCCACTGTGGTTTTACTGTTATCTTATTCTGAAATCCTGTATTGCTTTCATTGTTTTGTTTTGATTGGTTTTATTTGGTTCTATTTTGTTTGATTTTATTAAGCCTGATGTTATGAGCAGTTATTCTGAAGATAACAAGACGCATTGTGGTACCCATTATTGGTTTCTTTTTATCCTGAAGTTCTGTACCATGTTCATTGCTTTGTTTTGATTGATTTTATTCTGCTGTTTGGTTTTATTCCCTTCAAAATAAAAAAAAATTAATAAAGTATTTATGTTGCCCATTAAAACACAACACAAAGCCTGAGGTGACTCTGCTTGTAGCCCACAAGTACTCAGTGAAGAAGCTGCAGAAAAGTTGCAACTTTTAATCCAATTAGAAGTTGGATATTTTAATTTTTAATTATTTATACACACACACATAATTTAGAACAACACTAATGCTTTTTACTTCTCTTTTTTGCTGGTGGCTTTGTTTTGTTGTTACTGTTGTTTCGTTTTGTTTTAATTTTTCTTTTTGCTAGGAATTAAAGCCAGGCCTCATATTTGCCAGACACACATTGTACCATTGAGGTACAGCCCCAACCGTCACATAAATTTTTTAGGATAAATCTCTAATACATTAAATCGGCTTTTTAACTTTAGAAAGACTTCTATTTTGTTTGGGGAAAAAAAGGCACACATGACATGCAAATTTAAAAAATACTTACATATTTTAATACATTGCCCAGTTAATCATTTACAAAACAATGATATAAACCCACTGTTTGAAACATGTACTAATGGTTCTTTTTGCACTCTACAGGATAGTCACACTCAGCTTAGACAAGTGTTTAAAAACTGGTAAACAATTTTTTAGTTAAAAAACAACGAAGAAGCTTTAAATACTTATCTTTTTCTGAGATGGTGATCAACCCATAAAATAAGAATTTGGTATCACAATACACTTAGCAACTTCTTAAATCTGTGGAGAACCAGCTTTATTACTGGACTGCCCAATATACCAAGTCCAAGCAGGTAGCAGAAATAAATCATGCCAACAAATTAAATTCACAGAAATTATAAAGATTTCTCTTCCAGATAAGTTTCAAATGTCTGCTTGATGACAAAAATTCCTTTGCTGAAAACTTAACCTCAAATATTTACTGAATTACTATAAAGGGCCAGGATACATTACTCCGTCATAGCAACTGTTCCATTTTTACATATCTTAAGACATAATCTATAGTCAGTATTAACATGCCTGGGGCCCTTGCTTTACGGTCAGCATTAGAAATGAAACAAATTTCTACCAACAGAGACAACAGGAAGAAATTCACAGTGACTTCAGGGAGCACTGGACTCTCTGTCTGTGGAGCTGCACCAGACCCAGGATTTCTGTTCCCTAAGGCCTTGCTAAGGAGGGAGCAGAAATGGGGCCATAAAAAGCACTGAGACCTGTTGTGCACAGGTACCAACTCCTTGCAATGAATGTAGTCATTGTGTACTGCAAATATATACTAAGAAAAGCAAAAATATGAAAAAAGAAATGTGACTTAAGGGGTCAACGCCTCCTCCTACAAGCTTCTGATAAAAGCAAGTAAGTTGTCTTTCCTTGTAAATCACTCCAAACCTTTTCCAACTGGGCACTCAGATCAACTGCCTTTTTGCTTTCCCCTTTGGATTTACTGCTTAATATAACAGTTCATATCTACTGAAGTAAAGGGCCTTACATATATAAACTCATTTATACTTATAGTAACTCTGTCACACAGTTCTATTTTACAGATAAAGAAACTGAAACAAAAAGTCAAATACTACAGAGCAAGCCTAGGATTTAAATCCACAGATCAATTCCTCAGTACAGTCTTTATTATAGGACACTCATCATTACGATATACTTTTAATCCAGAAAACATCAGCAACTTCAGACAATAGAGCTCTCAGGTGTCAGGAATAAATCTGAGAGTCAACAATTAACCTGAGACAAATGCTCAACTTTGGAAATGCTGTAGATCCCACTTCTATTGGCTGCCTGGTAATTATGAGATTCAGTGCACAAAATGTTGAGATTTCATTAACGTTTAAGCACTGTTTAAAACACTGACACCTGATCTCCTAGCCAAGGAAAAAAATGTATTGAATTTTTTCTATCACAGTTATCATGTGTGAAATACCATATATCCTTAGTTATGTACTACCTAATGAGATTTCCAATAGGAACAGACCACATGTCTAGGACTGGTCCTTCAGATTAAACAGTCAAGTGGTATCTAACCACCCTCATTTACCTAAGGTCACTCTGAGTACACATGGAGGAAATCATCTAAATAAGTATGTCAGAATGCTTCGCATTCCTAAGACACACACAACCACACATATAAAGAATGCAGCAGAGAGAATACCTACCCTTGGGAGTCTTATATTACCTACATCACTATTTGCAAGATGTAAAACCACTGAACAAGCTCAAACAAGACCCATGAATCCCTGTTTACAAGAAACACTTGTAAACAGAAAAAAACGATCCTTTCTATGAAACTGATGAATTATAAGTTCTAAACCATGGAAATATATAAAAACTACTAAAAAAAATACATCTAACCTTACAGAATTATCACCCAGAAATCAGTACACCTAAGAATAACTGCCACTAATAAAACGCATCTTCTCTGTCCTAGTAAAAGAGAGTAACTTGATTTTAAAAATCTGTGGGTGTTACACATTTAAGTGATTGACTATAACCACTTACATATCTTTTAAGGGTAAGCTATAACGGCATCAAGGACAGGTGCACTGATTTTCCTTTGAACCTTTAATTTCTGCTGTCCTGGGGATGCGTAGTGAAGGCGGTAACCAGCTAGAACTCCTGGCCTGTCTAATTAGTTGGCTCCAGGTGGAACACACACACTCGGCCCTCCACCCCTTCCTCCCCGAGGGTTCTGCCTCCCAGGGCCCCTACGGGGCCAGGGTTCCTACTGATGTCCATTGTGAATATATGGAAAATGATGCGGGAGGGACTGAGCAGGATGCTATCTATGGGCAAACAGATCAGAAACCGGACAGAGGGCACCTGCGACCGTCCATGCCTGAAGCCTGGCCCCACGGCCTCGGGCTCCCTGGGGCAGGCGCCTGATGACGCTGCACAGCGGGGCACAAATACAGTACCAGCGGGAAGCAGGGGCTCCAGCGGGGTAAACTCATGCTCCATGGCGGATAAGGCGCCTCTGCATTAAAAAACGAGATAGCGCAAACTTAGACTCTATGAAACCTAACCAACACCAGATGCCCACTCCCCACCGGCCGCACAGCCCCGCCTGAGAGCCGCGGTGCCCCGCGAGCGCGCGCACCAGGGCTGCCCCGCCAGCCGCCCGCGCGCTGTCTCCATCCGGGCACTAGCGCGGCGAGAGCGCGCCCCTCCCGCCTCTCCCGCTCCCGCGCCGCACCCCCAGCCGCAGCTGCTCTTACTCAGGCAGATGGAACCCGAGCGGCGGGCCAGAGAGAACGCTCGACTGCTCCACGCTCTTCTGAGCAGCCTAGGCGCGCGGCCCGCGCACGCGGATTTAGGGCCCCGAGGCTCCGCCCACTTCCGGAATGCGCTGTCGCCGGGAGGGTGGCGCCGTCCGCTCTCCACCCGGGCCCAGCGGAACCACTAGTGAAGAGGATTTCCTCTGCACCGGCTGCGGAGTGTATAAACCCCTACTTTCCCGCAACAGCGCGGCCGACTTTCTCTTTAATCTGCCTGTAGCCGCAAGTGTCCGTCCTGAAACGCCCCTGCTTCAAAGCCATTGCTTCCTGCCATTTGTGGGAACCACAGCAGGTGCTCTTTGGAAAAAACAAATTACTGGGTGCTGCTCCTGGCTACCCACGAAGAGTCTCCGCAGCCTCGTCAACACCCGCCAAGCCGCGTCCCCGCACTAGCTGGCTCTTCCTTGAGGCAAAGGGCCTCACCTGCCACCTGCCCTTGGCTGATCTTGTGGAGAATCCGGAAAGTCACCTCCAGCCTCTGCAGAAACATCAAACTGACTTGAGGAAACTGACAAAAGCTTACAAAGTTTTAGGCTTCGGGCGGGAGGGGGGGTTCTTTGGGGGGTTTGTTGTTGTTGTTGACAAGTAAATAGAGTTTCTGCAAGAAATAGATCCCGAAGCAGCCACATACCTAAATGATTATGAATTGGTACTAACCACAAAAATTTTACAAAATCTACATTTAAGGAAGCACTTGAACTAAAACTCTGGGATATAGAGAAAAGACTAGTAAGTGTAACCTGCAGTTGATTGCTATAGCTAAAGCACATAAAAACTAGAAGTCCATCAGTAAATGATAAACTGGTAACCCAGAATACAGTATAAATATGGAAATAATAGAAGGCATTCACATGGTAAATACACATGGCTTACAGATGGATGAGGTAATTTATCTGCCAGATGGTGAACAGTATTTTTAATAACTCCCATTTAATAAGAAAAACGTACACTTATTGAGCAATTATGTTCCTGTCACTGTTGAGAGTTTTTATATTTTTGTTTATCCTAAAATGTACACACTAAAAGAACAAGGATGAAAGTTTAATTGTTTATTCTTGAATTATAACTCTTAACAGCTGCCAGTTGTAGAAAGCAAGCAAACAATGAGTATTAAATACCGAACTAGCAAATGTCTAGAATACTATTTTTGGAATTCTTGCAGCTGGTCCATCAAGCATCAGCAGAATACACACACACTCTCTCTGTCGCGCGTGCTCTCTCTCTCTCTCAATCTCACCTAGGATCGATTTCTCACATACCTATGATCACAACCTCATTTGATTTAGCGCCCTCTATGAGATTGCTAGGTCCACGAGGAATGAACTGTATCTGTGCAATTCATTGCTATTTCTCTAGCTAAATAGTATGCTTTAGCCAAGTTCTGTAAATATTTGTGAAATATATTGTTAAAATAAGATATATTGTAGTACATCATATCAGCAATTGTTAAAAAACAGTAAATCAATATGCTTTATGTGGAAAAATGTCAGCAACAGTAAATTTTATAAATAGAAATGGCAGAGTAATCCCACTTATAAGTTTAAATGTATTGGAATATCCTTGGGAAATGAGCTGTTGAAAGCGTCCAACCACGGAGCAAAAGGAGTGAGGTAGAATGCAAGATTTTGAAGAAAACACTTTTTATCTTTTGCTTTTGTATCTGTATGTTAACACGTATTTGGACACATTTTTTTTATTTTTAGTAAACAGTAATTACACAAGGGATATAGTATGACTATTCATGTACACAATGTGTGATGATCAGACCACTGTAATTAGCATACATCATTTCTTTATATTCAGAAGATTCACAATCCTCTCTACCAGCTGTTTGGAAATACTCAATTGATTGGTAACCACAGTTAACATACTGTTCTATAGAACATTAAAAGTTACTGCTCCTATCCAGCTGCACCCCTGTACCCTCTTATCTGCACCCTTACTTCCTCCACAACTTTTCTAGGCTCTGGTTTCCACTATTTTATTCTCTACATTAAATTTTGTAGCTTCAATATTTAAGTGAAAGCAGGTATTTGTCTTTTGATGCTTGAACTATCTCACATAACCCATCCTCCAGTTCTATGTTTCTGCAAATAACAAAATTTCATCATGTCCTATAGCCGAAAACTATTCCACTATATTGTGTGGAACACAATTTCTTTATTCTTTCATCCTTCAGTGGACACCTGCTTGGTTCCGTATCTTGGCTGTCATTAATATTCTGCAGTGAACAGAACAATGCAGATCACTTTGAAAGTCTCATTTCAATTCCTTTGGATACGGACCCAGCAGTGCAATTACTAGATCATCTAATGTTACTATTTTTTCTTTTTTTCTAGAGAATCTTCATCCTATTTTGCTTAATGACTACACTAATTTATGTTCCCATTAACAGTGTTTGAGAGTTCCTCTTTCTTTACCTCCTTGCCAGCATTTCACTTCCTTTGTTCTGCTTTATATCTCATTGTGATTTTGATGCATTTCCATGAGTGATGCTAAGCATTTGGTCTTATACTTGCTGGCTCTTTCTGTGTCCTCTTTTGTACGACATAGCAAGCAAAGGGAAAATAAAGGGTCACACACACTTAAGGGTCAGCAAGATGGCTGCCACTCCGCCAGCATAAGCAAGCAGCTTTTATTGAGATAACAAAGAAACTCATAGTGAACCTGCTTAGATTATATAACTTGTTTGCTTCTTGTTCTCATGGGAGCTCATGTTTTTACCATGGTGCGGATGGAAATGTTTCAAGGTCTGCACTTTGTACCAGAAGGCAGTCAACTGATGTGTCCAGAACAAAAAGGAGTCAGTGTGACCTCTCTACGTCTTCATCTTGTTTTCTTAGTTTAGGTTTTACTACCACATTAGAAGATAGTATTTTAGGTGTGAACATTTTGTATAGGGATGGGATGCATGGCACAAGGCATCCCATACCAATTAAACAGATAAGGACAGTGACACCATAAATAAACATTTGTTATAGCCAATTGATATCTGGTAACCATCCTGTAAGGAGATTCCATAATCCAGCATTGAGTTCTTGGGACATCTGTAGCTGTTTGGTAAATTCTTGTAAATCATGAAGCTTCCCATTAATGGATTTACTTCATGAGACAAATTAAAACAGCACATTTGAGCAATTTTATTGCTTCCATGATGATGTGATAGAAATAATCAATTGCAGCATGATTAGCTAAAATTGCTTGTCGATGTTCAGTTTGTTTAATAATGCCAAAGCTTTGGAAGTATAATTAGTATGTTTTGCCATGAGACAAGCTAGGGCACTAACATTGTGATTGGCCCTGGCTGCCAGGGATAGGCACACCAACCAAAGAAATACCTAAAGCATAATTTTCTGCTTTGGTTAACAATCTAATAGAAAAGTCCTCATAAAAGTCAGTAGGATTAGTTGTAGACTGTTTGGTGCAAGACAGTGTAAACTCAGGAACAGGCAACAACATAGTAAGATACCTAAGGCAGCATTTTGTGTTATAAGTTTGCAGTGTTATAATTTAAGATGTACTCTTCACATGAAAAAAACATCCAGCAGGGAGAGGAACATGTCTACGTCTGTACAATATTGGTTCATATCTAGAACAATTCCAAGTACTATCAGGAAGGCAAAGACTTCAAGTGGTACGATTTTCAGTAAGAGCACATGAGACTTTTGAACTTGATACATATGCAGTGACATTGTAACAGCCTTATCAGGTTTTTTAAAGGTGGGAGTGCTCCAATTTTGAAAGCATATGTTACAATTTTGCTTGGAATAGTGGAGAAAATGATGTAATTACTTATTTGTCCTTGCATACCGGAATCAGACAGGACCTGAGAATGTATTTCATTTCTATCTTTTAAGCAAGACAGAAATGAAAAACATCAACTATTTTTGCCAACTGAACCCAAATATTGTATTCCAGTCTTTCCTCTAAGATCCCCATAGTGGGCTGCAAAAAACATAGCAACAAACAACAAACAAAGCATTAAAGAGCATTAAATACAAACAAGCATTAAAGAGTTCATTGTCACTTTGGTAAATACCACTGCAAGAAGCTTTTCAGCAGTGGGCTCTTCTTCAGGTGCACAGAGCAAGTCTGGTGCAGACTGGGTCAGCACCTTCATATCATCCCCATCACTGGTCGAGCAGTTGTCATCCTGGGTTGCTTTTGAGATGGCCAGGCTTGATATAGGGAGAGGTAAAACTGTGGAATTGGGTTGTACAGCCTGTGGAGTCAACTCATTTTGTGTGTGAGTGGAGGGAATGCAACGAGCAGGAATCTACATAGGACATCTTGGGGATAACACAGAAGCATCCCCTCCTCCTCAGGTAAAGCAGGGGAGCCTGCCGGCCTGGCTCTGGGGACATTTTGAAAAATGAAACCAACATAGCCAAAGTACTTGAAGAGAAACACTGGAGGACAGCAGAAAGGAGAAGTCAGCCTTGGTAAATGGTAAAACAGTGTCAATCAGATCAATCCCAAGTAGTGTAAGTGCTGGACTATGTCCTCAAGAGATAAGAGAGGAAATTGTGTTGATAATGGGAAACAAAATACTGTCAGGCCAATGGGGAAGAGGTAATCATTTGACAATAATACCTTGCTGCTCCTGACCAGGTCACAAGAGCCCCTGTGGGCAGAGGGGCTGAATGAAAAATGAGTAAGGAGAGAGAGTCCACCATCACTGTGGTGAGTGTGTGAGCAGTGGTCTGAAGGGTCTGTTGTAGAAAAGGAAAGTCAGAGATCATGTCAGCAGGATCTGTGTGACCCTGTAAAGCATCAAACAGAGGAGCTAACATTGAGTGGTCAAAGGAAAATAGAGTAGAGTCAGCAGAAGTGGCACAGCTGGGAGGACCTGGGAGTCAGCCACTCGGTGTTCCATCTGTTTGCTGACCAAAGGTTGCAGCAGCGTCCCGGCAGAGATGTCAGTTGTGCAGAACAGAGACGGGGACTCAAGGCTCCACATGCAGCAGTGGGCCTATCTTTTCCCAATCCTCCATAATGAGGGTTCCTCGCTCAGGATACCAAGGACAATAATCATGAATTTCTTGGAAACGTTCTACTAAATTACGCTC